TAAGCTGAAGGTTGTGTGGTTGGGTTGGTGTCCCAAGCCCTGCACTGGGAGTCCTGGCTGGTGACAGAGCTGGCCGAGTCAGGCTCTGCATCACCCATCACCAGGAATCTTAGCTGGGGTCACCCTAATAGATTCCTGGGAGTTCTCATTGCACTAGGTTCCTACCTTGTCCCAGAATTTCCCTCCAGTTCCACTGTCTGTCCCAGTCTCTGGCTCTCCATCTTCTTCCCACCCCCCATATCTGCCCTGTTTTGCCTCCCAGGGAAACCCACATACGCCCTGTGGGCGCTCCTTGTCACCAGCCTCTCAGGATTACAGGAGCGTCAAGGACACCACAAGAAAAACCACAGACTCAACAATCTCAGCCCCACAGGGGCTCACTGAGAGTGAAGCAACAATCAGGGAGCAGCCTCGAAACTAGGCACTCTGTGGCTGTTACCGTTGTGAAACTTGGTAGTTTTGTGCCGCTCTTATCAGAGGGAGCAATGGCTGTTTGATGCTTTTGCGTGCTTTGGGGACACTTGTCCTCCTACTGTGGGTTGTCGCATCCAGCCTTAATACGAGGGGAGGAACGTAACTTTATTGCAACTGGATATTGCCACATTTAGTTAATATCCTTGGGGGAGCCTGCCCTTTTCTGAAGGGAAACAAACCGAGGAGGAGTGGATAGAGGGAGAGGGGGTGATGGAAGAGGTGGGAGCCAGAGGGAGAACCAGGAAACTGTGGTTGAGTTGTAATATGTGAGAGATTAAACTAATTTAAAAATGTAAATTAAGTATTGAGATGCAAAACCCATACAATGGATTTAAGCCCAGTGAAAGGAGATCCTCCAAATACTGCAGCCGTGAGACAGAAATGCAGGGCGATGATTAGCATGTCTGCGCCCCACTGGGGCTCTAGGCTGTAGCTCTCTGGTCACAGAGCAGCAGTGTAACTAAATGCAGATGCCAGCACAACAGTTGGCAGAAACCAGTGTGTGTCCCCGTTCATTCCACTGCGTTGAAAGACAATTTCCCTTAAGACTCTAAGGAGAGACAAGGAGATGTGTGGGTGAATGGAGGAGCATGTGACCAAGTCTGGCAGCCTGGGCTGGACCACCAAGAGGACCCATGGTGAGGGACAGAACAGCTCTGACCTACAGGCACGCCACCAAACATGCCTCCCACCACACACAAAACAAGCAAAACCAAACATGCAGCTCTGGTGAGTAAGCCGCACATGCCACAGGCTGAGCAGCCCCAGGTCAGCCCTGGACGTGTGTACAGACCAGCAAGGGTGATCAGACTCCTTGGACTGGACACGCAGGTGCTCCTCTATCTATGGACAGTAATGATAAGGAAGTGATCGTGAACTGTGGCAGGAGAGAGTGATGCAGATACAGAGCTCACTTACGACATTCTCCAAAAAATAAAAAATAAAGAGCTACAGGCAACTAGTAACTGCTGAGAGAGGGGGAATTCGTCTTTGCCAGGAATGAGCCATTGATTGGTTATCAAATACCAAGAAATGCATGTGGGCAGGCATCACTGAGCGAGCGCAGCAGGTTGTATTTCTATAGGTTCGTTTGTTCACATGTAACAGCAATGGTTAAAGGCCACGAAGGGGGCGTTTGACAGGAGAAGTGACAAGAGCGAGGGGTTTAATGAAAGAAGAGGAATGGCTTAAATTATAAATAAATGAATTTAAGGAAATTATAATTTATACTTATACATTATAAATAAATGAATGGAAGGAAAAAATGCACATATGAAAAGCAAAAAGACTTAAACTTGAGAAGCCAGTAGGCTATTTCTAAGAGAATTACGGAGGGAAATAAGGAGGATGTCATAGCAAAGTTAAGGCAGAGGAAGGATCGTAAGAGAATGCCACCATGAGTACTGCTCACAGGACGGTGTGCTTTCAGTCAGAGAGGCTGCCATGGCTCGTGGGACCACACTTCCTAATTGCAACCTTTGATTGTCTCCAGAAACCGATCTACGAAGTCAGACTTCGTTAGTGAGAGAGAACAGACCTCTAGCAGATTTCCTAAGTGGGGCGAGTGCTGAGCTTTCCATGTCACCCTGTGCTCGCCACTCGGCAATCAGCATTTTACACTGTGGCTGCTGCACAGGAAGTCTGCAAAGTTTTTGTGAGGAGGGATTCTATTTTGGGCCCATGCTACGTGCCCACACAGTCACGAATACTGACCCTTCTCCTTGTTCTTGGATTCTGCACTAACGTTGAACAGAGGGTGGTTGCGGGATCGGAGGGAGGAACCGAATCAGCAGGCTGTAAGTGAGTGGACTGTAAGGGGGACCAGGGGCCGAGGGCCTGGGCAGTGGCCCACAGCCTCCTGCTGGAGCACTGGCATACTTCCCTTCCTTAGCGGAGCACCGGCACATAGCACTGCCCAGTCGCTACTTGTCCCGCAGGCTCCAGAGAAGCACCTTCCTTTCCTCATAACGGTCACCGTGCAGAACGGCAGCCATCACTGTACAGAACATCGGCCGTCACCATGCAGAACGGCAGCGTCTGCAGGATGGCTCCGGGTTCAGCTCAGGGCTGGGGTGAGGTTTGCTCTGCTGCAGCACTCTGCTAGTGACAGCACCTGTTCAACAACTCTGGGTGAGAATAAATGAACGGGCAACAGAGGACAACGGAGGTCTAGGCCCATGTGATGCTCAAACCGTCTGTGGAAGTAGACTGCAGTGCAACAAGCGAAAGTTATTCTAAGGAGAAATAAATGTTTTAAAAGGCCCAAGTGTACGTTTCCCAGGAACAAAGAGCTTGGAATGCTGTGTGCCTCTCAGCCCAGAGGACAGGTTGACTCAAAGAACTTGTCATATCCTTTTATAGAGCAAGAGTTTCTTGGCCAGTTACTTATGATCTGGAGCCTGGACCTACTTTGGGGTCCCAAGCCGGCTCTTGAGAAGCATCGAGAAGGCTTTTTCTAGCCTGGACATCTTGAGAACAACTAACACTTCTAATCTAAAGCTGCTGAGCTATCTTTGAAGCCCAACCACACCACTAACTGGAGCAGGCAGGATGCCCAGAGGGCTAGATTTGGAGAAACAGTTACCAGTCAAATCAGCCAGGCTATGAGGCTGCTGCCTTGTCAGAAGCCTTTGTATGGGGGCAGGGGGCAGGCATGGTCTTTGCCCTTCTCATTTCCCCTCCAGGCCATCCCCCTACAGTTCGGGTGTCTGTGACAGGGCATTAAAAATTCCTCATCAGGACTACAGAGGCAGACAGTGCTGAGCCTCACAGTGCATTTCCTGGAAGGGCAAATAATGAGTGATCTAAGCAGAAACCGTGTAAGATGCTTGCAGGAAAAGGGTTACCTTAAATCCAATTCAAAGGATTGCTCCACAGTGGTTCTTAGCTGTGCAAGAATCCTGGCGAATTTAAAGGCAGAGGTAAGAACCCCTCCTTCAGATACCCTCCAGCAATGTCTTCACCGTTCCAGTGTCTGGCCCACAACCTCACTTCTCTGAGAGGAGGGAGTGAGGGACAGCAAGGACTAAGCTGCCGGGCACCACGGTACCCAGTGGGCAGGACACACTAGCCGGACCCAGAGTCAACAGGCTCGCTCACCATTTTCCAGCAGGTGCTGAAGGACTGGGAACCACCCTGGGTTACCCTGAGCACAATGCAGCAAGGGGCCAAGTCATCAAGGGGCCCCAGGAACAAGGAAGCCGTGTCGCAGGTACTGCCAAATCAGACAGGAACAAAATATCTGTGAAGATTTCATCCACCTCCACATGCTGACCTCCTCACTCGGACGTTGCTGTAACTACATCTCAGCCTCCTCTGGTTTCTGAGACGTCGATCACACACTCAACCTAAACACCCACCCACAGTGCGCACAGGACCCTGGCATTCCGCCAGTCTGAATGCTGGGCAGAATAGGGAGGAAAAAGACTGGTACAGGCCAGAGAGAAGTCAGAGGTTGCTAGGTGGGACTCCAGGGGTCTCAGCCACTGCGAAGACATTCATTTCCTCATTTCCCAGGACTACTGTGAGGGCTGAAGGAGGATCCATCTGCACAGTACTGGGCTCCAAGCAGAGGCCCACACGTGGTGGCTCGGCTGGTGACTGCTCGTCTGTCCCTTACAAACGTGTCCATTGAGGAGCTCCCCCACAGCTGTCTCAGAAAGTTTCCCCAAGGCCACTGACGGTCAGCCTCCCAGATGCCATCTTGTCCCTGTTCTTCCTCCCATGATTCTAGTTTCTGTGTGTGCTCAATAGTCTCCCTGTTCTCACATGAGAAATGCTATCATCCCCAGGGACCCCTCCCTCTCCCAACAGCAAACTCTCTCTGGATCCTTTTGGTTCTCCTTTGCACATGCCTCACAGTGATGCTCTTCTCTTCATCCGCCCTCTCCTTAGTTCACTAAACACCTGGATAGCCCGTCTCTAACCTGCTTCCCCGACCACTGCGATCAAAGTCCACCTGCTGTCCTTCAAACCTGACAGTGTCCCTTCCCCGCTCTCGGTTCACCACTGCTCACCCTCCTCCCTGACCAAGCAAAATCTACATCCTTTAATGTGGTCCCTGGAGCCTATGGTCCAGCACAGGCTGCCTCTCCCACTATGACCCTTCCCATACTCCCGACACCCACATCACCTTCGTGAACCACGCCTGTCTCCGTCACATGGGCTGACCCATCTCTTTTTGGATTCCAGTTTTCACCCTGCTCTGTGCTAACTCGTTTTCAATTTTTTGGCTTCTTCTTAGGTATCATTTTATCCAAGACGCCTTCCTACTTGAATCCTGAATCAGATGGCCCTTCTGATATGTTCCACACGATTATTTGTTCATCTCTCCCAGTAGCCTGCAGCCCCCTTTGAGAAGACGACCCCAATGCCTTAATCGTCAGTTGGTCTAAATGGGCACTCCAACATCTGCTGGACGGATGAGGGGTGCTGGAGGTGAGCCCGCCCAAGGAGCGACCTCTGGTTAAACGAGGCGTCAGTGGCTAAGACAGACCCGGGTGTGACAGCAAGAGTGCAGCACGTACCTAGGATGGCCACCACCTCGTCATCCTGGATCACCTCCAGGGAGCCCGAGACCACGAAGCAGAGGCTGTCCACACTCTCCCCAGCGTGATAGATGAGGTCCCCCGGGGCGCAGTGCACCGTCTGGAACTCCATGGCCAAGGCCCGCAGGCAGCCATCGCTGGCCAGCCGGAAGGCGGGGTGTTCCTTGAACACTTTGCGATTCAGGTGCACGCAAATGTCAGCTCGCATGTCCTTGGGGCAGATCTGCAGGACCTGGTCAGACAAGGAAGAGACAGAGTGAGGTCCATTCCACAGCCTCCTTCTCTTGGTACCCCAGGCATGGGGCAGCACCCACGAGGCCAGACTGAACTCCTGTGAGTGAGTGCCCTCGGGAAGACAGGCAGTGCCTGGATTCTAGAACATTATGCTGAAAGCTCTGGGTATAGGTCTGGAAATCAGGGCTAGGAGTGTATCAGGCGTAAGAAAGGCCTCTGAGGATATGGCATTTGAACTGACAGCTTTAGAATGTGTCAAAAATGGACCTTGTGGAAATAGAACATTCCAGCAGGAGAGCGAACATGAAGGCTCTGTGTTCTGGGCAACAGTCCACCAGGTCAAGGGGAGGCCTAGAAGACACCCCCCAGAGAAAACACTGAGCCTCAAGGCCAGGAACACAGACTGGTGGACTGATGTCAGCTGAGAATCCAGAGTGGGATTAGAGAGCTCTCACCCTGGGTGGCAACAGAAGAGTCAAAAGGAAAGGTGAGGGATGCGAGGACTGGGCTGGTTCAGTGTAGCCAGCAAGAAGTAGCCATGTTCAGATTACAAGCACAAACAAGGAAATCATTACACACACACACACACACACACACACACACACACTTGTATTTATATAAGGGTAGAGCACGCCATTTTGACATGCACATAATACATGAACAAAGCAATCAGTCTACCCCTTTAAATATTTGTCATTTGTTTATGCTGAGAATGTACTAAACACTCTCTTCTGGCATTTGGAAATACACAGATTTGGTTAACAGATACAAAACACATAACACATCAGACTAGATTCTGTGCTCTGATTATACAGCAGGCAGGCTTGCTGATGGCGTGAATACAGGATGGTCTTCAAGGAGATGCATTTCCATGAGAACTGTCCACGATCAAGCCAGTAAAAATTCCAGCACAGATGTGAGAGGGTTCCTGAGACCCCGACCCTTAGACAAGGAGCTACTGGCACTTGACGGATGCTGGGGAAAGGAGACATACTTTTCTTTGGGATGCGGCATTGGTAGGTAGCCCATGCCCTGGGGAATGGCCTCACCACCCATTTATACATGGTCATTACTAGTTAGACTCAGTGGGATGATGATGATGGTGGTGATGATGGATGATGGTGGTGGTGATGGATGAAGGTGGTGGTGATGGATGATGGTGGTGGTGATGATGATAATTATGATGACAACAACAGACATGAAGTTGATAGAGACAGGTTAGTGGAGCCCAGAGACAGTTATAAGGAGGTAGTTAATGTAGATAAGATAAAAAATATTATGCACACGTATTAATCTTCAAAGAATGAATATACTTTACAAAAATGAGATACGTAAAGTCACATTTTCCTGACTATGCTTGCTGTCTGCCAGGCACAGCTCAGCAAGTTACCAATCTGGTTAGTATTTGTTTGTTTGCCAAGTGTCCATGGTGTTCCAGGTACCATTCTAGGCTCTAAGGTCCAGTAGTTAAAAAACATCTAGACAAAGATCCCTTCCCTTATGGAATTTTCTGTCTAGCAGAAGAAGGCAAATGACAAGCAAAAGAAATAAATTGTAGCAGCAATTGCTGAGGACGATGAGGAGGACATGAAGGACAGAGAACCACGCCTTTACATTTGAAAGCTTTTAGTTACATCAGTTCAGATGAGAAAGCTGAGGACGGGGAAGCCCCGAAGTTTCCGGCCAGGAAATGGCAGATTTGGGCTTTCACACCAGGTAGCTTGGCATCCGAGCCTAGTTAACGCCTCACCAACCCTACGCCAGGCAGTTGTGCAAAGCCATTTCACTTGCAGCATCCCTGCCACACCCATGCCACGAGGAGGCTTCGCACATGCCAGACCACCACTCTGCCATCTGAGCCGGGTCCCCAGCCCTGACTTGCACCATCAAAAAACACACGAGGAACTGCAGGCCATGCGGATCTCATTCCTCTAAATAACTGAAAATTTTCCCAGATTTTCAGAGCAAAGAATAGTTCTCAGAGCAAGAAACACTTCTGTGGACGGAGTGTCAGCAAGAAACCACTGCACAGCTTTCTACAGAAAGCATCAGGGAACACAGCAGGACTCCTTCTGGGGGACTTTTCTGGAGAAATCAGGGCTATTTTTAAAATCATTTTTCCCATTCTGTTCCGTGACCCAGGTAGGGGTTGCAGAATAGAGCGTGACCATTCAGCGGCTACTTCCTGGGATGCTGTGAACCTTCCAGCCCCGTTCCTGTCTCACGCCAGCCACTCGCCTCTGCCTCAGGGGCTTCTCCACAGGCCCCTCCCTCAGTTCTTGCCTCAGATGGCTTCAGTCCTACCTTTGGTGTGCACATGAAGATGGAGCAGTGGAAGAGGTCACATGACTGAAAACCCAGCGCCTTAACTACTCCGTGCCTCATTTTTCCTGCACAGTAGAGACGACCAGCACTGACTCTAAAGCTAAGGGAAGTTGCATGTCTGAGAAACAACCCTTCTCTGGTGACCCTGCATTTCTGTTCTGGGTTGTAAGGTGGCCGGGGTGAGTGTCTCTCTTGGAGAGCGGGTGGAGGAGTGTGGAGGCACAAAGCCTAAGCCAAGAGATCGTGACAAACAAGACTGCTGCAAAAGGGTTTTCTCCGTGCGGATCGCAGGGGTGGGGACACACGTGTCTTGTCCAACAGTGCCCCAAAGCAGAAGCAAGGTTAGTTCTCCTGCTGAGTCACATTTAAATATTTGCCTCCCTGAGGTAGGCTCCTGAACGAGGCCTGGGCCAGGGCTTCCATTTTCAGGACACTGATTCCAGGGCCCACGGAGAGGCCGGAGCAGGGGGGAGGCTGGCTGCAGAGGAGCGGTGGCCAACTCTGGGCTGTGCGGCACCTCCATAGCCTTCGTCTGCACACTCTACACCGGGCAGGCGGGAGGGAGCCGCACCCTCTCCCCGAGGGCACACACATGCCTATGGCTGCTGCCTTCACTGCCTGGCTTTGAAATGACACTCTTGAGTTGTGGCTATAGAGAGGCCTCGCTGGGCTGTGCATTGCAGCTCGAGATTGAGACTCTGGACCCCGTCCTGCTTTCAGCGTGTACCGCCTGTGTGGACTTGAACGACGCTTAGCTCCTGTGCCAAGTCTCCCTTTCCCTGTGTGGGATTGTGTGAACTTTCCCATGCTGTTGGTGTCGAAGCGTCTGGTGCCTGGGCACTTGTGCACCCTTATTTAAGCCATTCTACAGAGCTTTCCTGGACCAGGGGGTTATGGCTAGCCCAAAGGCCACAAGGCCATGTGGTCTTAAGGGTCCTCTTACTTCAATATGCCCCTGATGGTGACGTGGGACCTGGGGCAGGACAGCACATGATGTGCTCAAGGTCACTGGGTAGGTGCTGGGGGGAGGAGGGAAGCGGGGACTGCAGGGTTGGCTCTCTCCTCCTCCTTCCCGAGGCCGGGCTCCACTGTGAGATGCCAGGGCATGGACCAGGAACTGGGTAGATCCCAAAGCCCTCCAGGAGGTGGGCAGGGCGGGAATCAGTGCTGATGGTACAGTGTCCCACACAGTGCCTCCACCCATCCCGGAAGGGACGGGGACAGGGCAGGGCTTTTCCCAGAGATCGGGATCTACAGAGCCATCCGGTGCCTGGGAAAAAGGAGCTCCAGGGCAGAGATCAAAGTTCTTTCTGCCCCATCAGCTGCCAGGAACCCACAGCACCAGCAGGGATTGTTGCCAGTGCTAGGCAGAGACAAGGGGCGCAGCTGGGGCAGAGAGCAGGCAGAGCCAGGAGCCAGGCAGAGCCAGCCCACGCCCTGCCCATCCAGGAAGCGTGAGCCTCAGCCTTCTCCCGGAGCACGCCTTCCATCCAGAAGAGGCAGAGCCTGCGGGATGGATGGCTCAGTGGCGTTAAAGCCAAGCTTGAGGACCTGACTCCAACCCGACCCACATGGTAGGGAAGAACATGACATAGCACACATAAACATACAAACATGCACGCACGTACACACGTACCCAGTAAAATGTAGTTTTAAAAAGACAAAAGGCGGAAAATAATGAAAAGGGACAAATTTTGGAAGTAGATGAAAACGGGGTCCAGATCCTGGTGTCCCCCAGGCCAGGGGAAGCAAAAGCAATGAACCAGGCCTGGTCCTCCTTCCCCTTCAACAGAGCTTCCGGCCACACCTTCCCCAGGCGGGGGTGAAGCCACACAGGCACAGTGGGCAACAGTCACGCAAACTTTCACTGGGTCTTTCTGCTTCCGCGTTTGCCACGTAGCCCAGGCTGGCCTGAGACTCACAGCTGTCCTCCCTCCACCTCAAGTCGGCACCACTGCACCTGGCAAAATGCTTGTTCTCAGTGCATGCTCCAGGATTGGTAGCGGGTGCTGTGGAGGTTTTATCACGACTCACAGCCAGACAGACCCACAGCCATGGGCCTGTAGAGTGGAGTCGACAGAACGGCGCATCTCCTTAAGACTGCCAGTGCTCCCGTGTCTGTCCAAGTGCAGCAGCGGCTCTCAACCTTCCTGTGCTGTGACCCTTAATCAGCTCCTCGTGCGGGGGTGACCCCCAGCCCTAACATCACTTTTGTTGCTCCTTCGTAACTGTAATTTTGCTACTGTTACGAACTGTCATGTAAATATCTGTGTGTTCCGGTGCGCTTATGTGACCCCTGTGTAAGGGTCATTCAACCACCCAAAGGGTCACAAACCACAGGTTGAGAGCTGCTGAGACAGAGGAAGACAGGAATGTGGTGGCAGATCCCAAAGCCAGACCAATCTGGATTTCAACGTGTCCAGGGGTATTTTTGCCACCAGCACGCCCGGAGTGGAGAGATGGGCATGACACTGAGGGGAGTGGAATCGGAGGAGTGGGGGAACAAAGATAACCCCTAAACAAGCCCTCTGTACCTCCATACTGCTCTTTTTATGCTTTACCGATGTGAACCTGAAGAACGCAAGTGTGAGAGCTGAGAGGAGGCGTGGGAAGGTCGGGTACTATCTCTCTGTGTTGCACAGACTTGTGTCAGTGCTGCCTGCACCTGTCAGGCACGCTCTCACCAGGGTAATTACCGACCCTGTCCATCACGGGCCAATGATGGTGGTCAGCGGCCTAAAGACAAGACTGGCAAGCACAGGTCCACCTGGGAACCTGGGGCAAAGGAAACAGCCCTCCAGTCCAGGATCTTCACTTTTTCAGCCCCGAGACAGCAGGACTCTGCTCCCCTCACTCCAGGAGACACGCTGTGTCTCTGAGTGCTTAAACGATGGTTCCTCATTTCTGGTCCCCAGTAAAGACAGCAGAGAGGCCACCAGAAGCCCCGGAACCCACGTGCCCCCGAGAGTCCTGAGCCCTGCCCGCCAGGGAAAGCCGAGCCGCCCCCTCCTCACCTTCTCTGTGTCGATGCCTCGGGACATGGACCAGGTGGACACGATGTAGTCCATGACGCGCTCGCTCAGCCCTTTGGGCACCTGGTAGAGCTTCAGGAAGTCCCGGACGCTGTTGAGCATCTCGTGGTACCTGTTGGTGTTGGCGTACATCTGCTGGAAAATGGTTGTCACGTTCCCAAAGATGGTGGCGTACAGAAGAGCTGGAGACAAACAAGAAACAGCGCGCTGAGTGCTGTGAGCCAAACTCTGGAGCGCACAACCCCTCAGAGAAGGCCCACGCTGGAGCTGCGCTCCCTGCTAGAGAATCCAGACCTCAGGGAGCCTCACACCTCAAGCCAAAGAGTCTGGAGCAGGAGGCAACGAAGACCAATGTGTGTGCTGTCCCCATGCTGGACATGGTGTTTTAGCTCATCAACAGAAACCCTAAGACACATGTGGTACACTCTTCAGAAGGGTAGAACTCACCATTTTAAAACCTGCTTTCAGATTTGTGAGCATTCTCGTGTCTTCAAAAGAGCAATCCTGCCAGTCCTTCTCCATGCTCTCCCGTCTCCCCTACCACACTCACTCACTTCCGGTCTCTGCGAACTCACACATGCTAGACGTTTTATGTAACCATACAGAGTGTCCCTGTGACAGCTCCCTTCACATCCCTGGCATTTCCTTCCTCTCGCTGCCCCATCATGTGGGCTGCCCACACTTCATCTGCCCATGCATCAGCCAACGGCCATTTCTGATTCCATCTTTCCTTTTTTACTTTTTGGCTGTTGTGCTTATGAAGCACTGTGAGCACTTGTGGGTGGGTATTTGAGTGAACACACATGTCATTCAACCTGGCATGTGCTGGGACTGACACTGCGGTCATACGTGACTGTGTTCAACTTGCTGACAACGCCCAGCTGTTTTCTGAAGCGGCTCCTCCTGGTTCTGGAGAGACGGCTCAGCAGTTCAGAGGGCACACCGCTCTCTGAGGACCCTGGTTCCATTCCCTCCTGTAGGATTGTTCACAACATCCCAAAACTCCAGACCCAGGGCATCCAGTGCCCTCTTCTGATCTCCACAGGCAGCTGCACACACACACACACACACACACACACATACACACACACACGTCTGTACATAACTAAAATATAAAAATAGTTGGTGTGGTGGCCTTAACCCAGCATGAGGTGAGAGAGGTGGATCTTTATGAATTCTAAGACAACCTGGCTTGTGTAGCGAGTTCCAGGCCAGCCAGGGCTATACAGTGAGACCTGTCTAAAGCTAACAACATGATATCATATCTGTCTAGTCAGCTTGGCCTGTGAGGATGTCTCTATGAGGTTCTTAATCAAATTAACTGCTGTGTGAAGTCCAAGGAGGGCAGCACTATTCCCTAGGCAGGGAGCCAAGGCTGTGGAAGAGCAGAGAAATTAACGTTAGCACAGCCAGTGAGCGTGTTTGTGGGCATCCATTCTCTCTGCTCTGGACTGTGGATACGACACAGCCAGCTGTCTGAAGCTCTTGCCTTGACTTCATCCATTGATGGCCTGTGGTCTGAAGGCCAAGATGAACCCATTTCTCTTCTAAGTGGCCTTTGTCAAGTCCGTTGTCACAGCAACAGAGATGATACTACACCGTCACCCTAGTGAACGTGGACCGAGGCCTCAATGTGGAGTTTACTATCTTCGCACAAAGGCTGATGCCACTGGGCGCACCCCCAAGTGTCTCCTGGACAAATAACCCCTCAACCTCTGTCTACTTTCTGTGTGTTTGCTTTGTCTTTTTACACACTGGATGCTCCTCCGCTCACCTGTGTTCTACAGATACTTTCACGCCTCATACGGGCTACCTTAACTTCTTCCTTCTTCTTTTTCCAAATGAGCGTGTGTACATCCGTGGGTTCAGAGGTCAACGTCTGACATCCTTATCACTCTACACATGTAAAAAGCTTTCATCTTGTGTAGGGGTTGTGGGAAAGTCAAAAGTTAACCTTTGGGGTCACTTCTCTCCTTCCTCATGCCCACCCTTGGGTCTGATGCCAGGTTTTTATGCTGTGCAGTAGGGGCCTTTACCTACAGAGAAACCTTGCCAGCCTGTTTGGGGGACAGGGTCTCTCACTGAGCCTAGAGCTCACTGTTTTGGCTCAAATGACTAGACAGATGCCAAGCCCCAGAGATCCCCGTCTCTGCCTTCCTAGCACGGAAACTACAGACACTACCACAGCAGGCGGGTGCCAGGGAGCCAGGCGGAAGTCCTCATGCTGATGTGATAACATTTCGCTACTTTACAGTATCATTTGTAGCAAGAAGGGTTTAGCTTTGATGATACTAATTCATCTATTTTTCTTTTGTATTCTTTTTCTTCTGGTTTCTTACATTCAGCACAGCTTGTGTGTTTATATATTGTTGTGTATATAAATATTGTGTTTTCCTTCCCCTGAAAAGGGAAACACACTTTATTTGGAAATAGGTAGATATCAGCCGGCATTGTGAAGACGGGGGATGGATTCCAGACACCTTTGGCTTAGTTTTGCTCCTTGTCACACCTTCTATAGCTAGAACACGGGCAACCGCCATGGAGCACATGGCTCGTGGTGCTGCGGTACACAGTACATCCATGTTCAGAACACGGAGCCATTGGGTCACCAGAGCGCTTCCTCCCGGAACCCCTGCACAGCCACGCCCCTTCCCCCGGCAACCACGCCCTTTTCTTCACCCCGATTCTCTTTTCACAGATGAGGCATAAATGTGTGGCCTGCTGGGGTTGGCGCTTCCCTCACCAGAGGCTGGTAAGGCGCTATAAACAGCCCTTTGGCTGAGGAGGCCTCTTCCTCTGCACAGACACCACCACAACCACCCTTTCAATTTAAGGCTTAGGAAACAAACTAAGGACAGGAAAGCACGGGAGGGAAAAGCTTGGAGCCTGAGGTCAGGAAAGGAGCAAAAACTACCTGCCCCCCACTGGGGGCTGAAAGGTGCACCTCTCCTCTCACTTTTTGTAAAGGAAGCGAGGGACATGTGCCTTCAAGTCCGCCCCTGCCTGCTGCCTTCTGATCCTCATGTTTGTGTGAATGATCGTCAGTCTTCCATATCAGAAACAGACGGAAACCCTTAGCTGCTACCCATGTCAGCACAGGGCCCAGAAAATGGATGCCGAGTTTTATGTGACTGGGTGGGAGTTGTCAGCTGGGAGTTCAGGGCTGGTCACCTGGTTGGGTCACTGTTGGAGAACACACAGTTTTGGATTAAGGTACCTGACCTGCTCTGTGGTATTCTGTGTATCATGCTAGCTTCCTGTTTTCTTTCAGAAAATGTTGTCAAAGTGTGGGGACATGAATGCTATGTTCTGAGCCGTAGGCTTGGCCTCGTCACCTATGGCCTCTTCTGGAGTAACTCTCAGCAGTCAGAAGGAAGATCTGCTTACCGGCTGAGGCAAATTTTCATGATGCACCCCTTTGTTCCCCCTCTTCCTCCTGCCTCTTCTCCCCACCCCAGCTCAGCCACCCTTCCACCCCAAGGATCCTAGCACCATAAGGAAGCACACAGCAAGAACACCTGATAGCTGCCTATTTTTACTTCGTTTCATTTTCCCAGAAGATTCCTGTTACATAATTTTCTCATTTAATGAAACCGCCATCCTTCTCATCAGGGGAAAAACACTTCTGAATACAGAAGGGCTGAAGAGTATGAAGAGAATGGAGATGGGGGAGAGAGAGGCCTGGGAGCCAGACTTGCTCCTTCATGTAACCTGCTCCACAGAACAGTAATTCTTCTGGACCAGCTACCTTTCTATTGCGGTGATAACACACTGTGGCCGAGGCAGTTTAAAGAACGGAGAGTTTGTGCCCATGGGTCCAGATAAGAGGGCAACCCCATCATGGCGGGAGGCGTGACAGTAGGCAGGCATGGTGGCTGGAGCAACAGCGCCATAAACTTTCAAAGCCCCACCTCCAATGACATGGCCACACCTCCAATGACATGGCCATACCTCCAATGACATGGCCCCACCTCCAATGACATGGCCACACCTCTTAAGCCTCCAAACTAGTGCCACCAACTGGAAACAAAGTGTTCCAGTGTCTGAGCCTATGGTTTAGTTACCAGTCAGACCACATCTGGTTTTGCTAACGCTGTCTTCTGTCTTGGCTACCGACATTGCTTCTGTTCCTGCTGGTATGGTGTTCTTGTGGAATGTATACATTTACCCTTGTCCATTCAAATCCTGACTTCTCTGCCCCGCTCTCTGGTTTCAATCTGGACAGTGCATTGTGATGCTTAGTGTAAGCATCACCTGTCTCAAGTTTGTGTAAACATGCCACCATTTGTTCTCTGTGTTGCCAATAAAACAACCAGCCACTGCTGAGCAATGGAGAGAACAGAGTGGGACATCCTGGTCCAGAGCGGAGGAGAAAGAAATGAGTAGGTGGAGAGATCTGAGAGGAGAGGACCTGGAAACACCAGGAGAGATGAACTGGACCCAAGATATGACTAAAAAGCAAGGATAATGTAGGAAATCTGAATGGGAGGACGCTATGCGGGCTTGGAAGTTTAGGATGGAGTAACTATTGCCCAGCATTGTACTCTAGGTTAATTACATAAATCCTAGTCTCTGTGTGGTGAATTTGGGTATACAGCTGGTTTAAGAACAACTGCTGTTTAGCTAAAAGATAAATCAATATTAAATATTAATAATCATCGACATTTTCCTTCTAGTTTGGGAAAAGGGCAGAATCCTATCTGTAAATCTCAGTATCTATGCGTAAATGAGTAGCAGTCATGAGGACAGAAGTAAGTAACTGCTCACTGCCTGCCAGCAGGTTCATCTGATGGAGAGGAGGTCGCCCAGGAGAACAGAGTACAGAGGCTCTGCCTCTGAGTCTCAGGCCCACTGCTGGCCTATGGCAGCCACTGCCCTCTCGAAACGCCTTCATATATTATGGGGTTCCTAACTACTGAGAGAAGAGGGGCTTACTGTGGCCACCCTGAAATGCACTATATAAATTAGGCTGTCCTCGAGCATATGATCCCTGGTCAGTCTCTCAAGTGCCATGATGGCTACTTTACATCACACACCTGGCTCAGTTTTAATTTTAATAAATAGGCTAACGTCCATAAGTACCTGCGGCAGGACGCCGGGCCCGTTCGGCATTGAGCTGTAGTTAACAGCAGGACTGTCTGTCTACGGACCTGGTAATGATGCCTCAGAAACCAAACCATCC